AAATTTAACTTAATAAGAAAAACTGACACATATTTCAAGTTTTATTAGGTCACCTGAGTCACTCAGGTGACCTATTGCTATCTGTTCTCGTCCGTCGGCGTGCGTCGTGCGGTGTGCGTCGTGTGTTAACATTTGAACATTTTTATAGCTTCGTCTCTGAAACCGCTTAACCATTTTCAACCAAATTTGGCATATAGCATCTATGGGTGAAGGGAAACAAAAAATTGTGAATTTCATGGTCCCTGCTCCCCTGGGGCCTGAGGGGTGGGGCTAAAACCACTGAAAATAATGCAGTCTTTAAAAATCTTCTTTACTCCTGGACATCAAGAAGTCAAACTGTTGACATCATAGTAATAAGTATTGAGCCCTCTACCAAAATTGTGAAATTCATGGCCCCAGGGTCAGGGGTTCTGGTGCTAGGGTGGGGCTATATAGATCATATAGAGAAAGTGCATTATTTCTTTGAAAATCTTCTTCTCTACTCCTGGGTATTAAATAAACTAAGTACATAGTTATGAAGAGCAAGAGTGCCTTTTCCAAAATTGTGAATTTCATGGCCCCAGGGTCAGGGGTTCTGGTGTTAGGGCGGGGCTCTATTGATTATGTAGTGAAAATGCATAAATTCTTTGAAAATCTTCTTCTCTACTCCTGGGTATTAAATAAAGAAACTAAGTACATGGTTGTGAGTAGCAAGAATGCCTCTTCCAAAATTGTGAATTTCAAGGCCCCTGGGTCAGGGGTTCTGGTGTTAGGGCGGGGCTCTATTGATTATATAGTGAAGATGCATTAATTCTTTGAAAATCTTCTCTCTCCTGGGCATTAAATAAAGTAACTTAGTACATAGTTTTGATGAGCAAGAATGCCTCTTCAATATTGTGAATTTCATGGCCCCTGGGTCAGGGGTTCTGGTGTTAAGACGGGGCTCTATTGATTATATAGTAGAATTGTAGTAATTCTTTGAAAATCCTTTTCTCTGCTCATGGGTATTAAATAAACTAACTTAGTACATAGTTGTGAAGAGCAAGAGTGCCTCTTCCAAAATTGTGAAATTCATGGCCCCAGGGTTAGGGGTTCTGCGGGGGGGGGGGGGGGGGCTCTATTGATTATATAGTGAAAATGCATTAATTCTTTGAAAATCTTTTCTGCTCCTGGGTATTTAATAAAGTAACTAAGTACATAGTTATGATGAGCAAGAGTGCCTCTTTCAAAATTGTGAATTTCATGGCCCCAGGGTCAGGGGTTCTGGTGTTGGGGGGGGGGGGTGCTCTATTGATTATATAGGGAAAAGGCATGAATTCTTTCAAAATCTTCTTCTCTGCTCCTGGGTATTTTTCAAACAAAGGAAGTGCATGGTTATGATAATGCATTTCTTTGAAAATCGTCTATGCTTCTCTGGATGTTCAAGGCAAACAGAGAATAAGTTTTAATATGCAAGGGTATTTTTACCAGAATTTTGAACACCTGGACCATTTAGTCAAGTTTTCTGGTCCTGGCCAGGGCTCTATTAACTTGAATTCTACTGAGCAAAGTTATTCCCCTTTGCCATTCACCTTTGATCATTAATCAATTTACATAATGTATTTGAAAGCTTAATAGAATAAGAGAATTATGCAAGAAAATTTACTGTATAATAATAAAAGTACTTTCATAGTTTTAATGACTTGGAAATAATAGATGAATTAAAATGAGACAAAAATAACTTATCTTTTTAAATGTTCTTCAACGGCCAAGAGAGGCCATTGTGAGAAGGAGTAATATTGGGTTAAATAATAGAGATTTTGTTAATAGTCTGCTTTGGAATGGGGGGAAGGGGGGGGGGCAGATAGGTACTAGACCAATCATTTTGTTGATGCTAATCATACTATTTTTCTTGCTATTGGGCAGCAAAGCTTCATTTGTTAGTTAATGGATCCTCTAAATTGCTGTATTGTACTCAGGTGACCGTTAAGGCCCTTGGGCCTCTTGTAATGGTTTGTTGGCGGTTATGACCACGGCTGCACTCATAACTGCATTGTGATCTACAATGACATGCAAGATTAGTTATTAAGGACTAGAAAATGATTAAGTGTGCCCTGTTATAAATACTAACACCCCAACAAAACAGGTTACGCTAATTTCCACCTGCCCCCCTTTGCAATTTGATCCTCCCCTTTGCCTTGAACCCAAGCTTCTGTAGCTGCCCCTATACGAAAGGACTCTGTCTTGTACGCTTTGGTATCTAACCCTTAATTGGCGATAAACAGAGAGAATAGTGCCATGACCTGATATCTTGTAACTGGGGTCCCATCGGCATGGCAAAAGAAGGAGTTAAGTTGCTGTGGTCTAACTCTCATAAATGCTTTAAGTGATTGCACTGGGCATAGGATCTTAGATGTTGGTATTAAAGAACAAGGTTCAGTTCCTTTAAAAATCGGCCCTCTTTCAAATAAGCTAATTATTGTATATTTTTATCTAAGGAATGTGTAGAATGAAAAATTACTAAAATTATTTTTGTCGGATATAATACAGATCCGAATACTGCAGCCTTTCTAAAACAGAACTTTCTTCAAGATGCCCTGACGTTTTAGAGGAAATTCATGTCACCTTAGAGGAAGCCACCAACCTGGAGAAGCTGACTCGTAAGCAATCCTTATGTACGCAATGGCACACTCACAGGGCTGGACGACTGACAGCCTCCAACTTTTATGAAATATGCCACACCAGTCCACAGACACCTAGTGCAACAGTAATACGCCGGACAATTGATTATTTACCAAATGTTCAAATAGCTGCCGTGAAATGGGGAAAAACAAAAGAGGAAATTGCACTTCGGGAATACCAGAACTTGATGCAGAAGCACAATCCAGGATTTGTTGTTCGACAAAGTGGTCTCGTGATCAACCCTGCATACCAAACACTAGGAGCAACCCCAGATGGTATTACCGAGTGTCCATGTTGTGATAAAGGACTTGTGGAAGTTAAGTGTCCTTACAAGCATGTCCATACGAGTCCATGTGAAGTGAAAGACAAGGGAATTTATTTAAAATCTCACTCATGTGGTAGTGTATCATTTAAAGATGTCAAACTGTGCACAAATTCCTTGATTAGATCATCAAAATATTATTATCAAGTCCAGGGAGAAATTGCTATTTGTGAGGCTGGGCACTGCGACTTTGTGTGTTGGACACCCAAAGGACTTCACATTGAAAGAGTTCTCCGAGACCAGCCATTTATAGAGGAAATGTTGCAGAAATTAAATGTGTTTTTCCTGAATGTCGTTCTTCCTGATTTTATGACAAGATGTCTGAAAGACCGTGATCAAAATAACATCACAGTTGACCTTGTTTGTGTATGTGGTAAAGCAGAGGACTATGATGACATGATTGCGTGCGAGTCTGGACATTGCAAAGTTGAGTGGTATCACTTTAAGTGTGTTGGACTGAAGCAAGTTCCACAGGGAACCTGGTCCTGTCTCACATGTAGAAAGATGCCAGCAGCAAAAAGATCAAAGAAGTGATTTTTTTAACCAGAAGTGTTCTTCGAGTGTTGTGCTTTCACTACAAAAGTAGACATTTGCATTGGTGCAGAGTGTGATGTTTGTTCCTGGAAATATCAGTATTATTGACTAAATGTATTTTAGTTTCAGGACTTTTTGTGATAAAAAAAAACATGCATTTATACTTTAAATCTTTGTTCTTTGTAGTTCAGTATTAAAGTCTGTTACACAGTAAAATGGGTTTTCTTTTTAGAGAGTGTTTAAGGCTCATTTGACCCTTTTGAGACAGGTTGCTGCCCTGAAGACAATAAACTGACACCTGGCTAAAGATACAGGGTTAAAATTTAAAAAAAAATCAAACTTATTTAAAATTTAATGATATATTTCATCGAAAATTATAATTAATTCTTTTCTCCGTTTATGGTCTTCATTCCTGTAAAGTGTTATGTATATGTCAAATGAAAATTTTACAATTCACTGAAAAATATAAACAGTTACTCTGTTGAGGTTATGACCTTATCCTCCATTCACATCATTGAGGTAATTAAGATTTATGATTTAAGCAATGAAAACTTCAGCATGCCATCTGGAGATTTTTAGCTTACAATGAGAAAGAGAAATGGAGTGAATTTTTACTTGAGACAACTTCATCAGACTGGTAACATGGGAAAGGCCCAGATCCGTTTAAGTGTGGTAACAGAACAAATATCCAGCTCTGTTTATTAACTTGTCAATCCAGAATGATGGATCAATTTTTCAATTCTTTATCCTGAAGCAGTTTTAGAACTTTCACTTAAATTTGAAAGTTGTAGTACTTAAAGTTTTATAATAGAAAAAATAAAATTAAACTATTAAAAATTGTCTCCCCTTTAAGTTTGTGGTTAAATATATGCTTTCAAAGGAAAGTCATTTATCATGGAATATTAAAAATAAATCAGTTTATGAATGACTGAAATAAGTCTAGGACTGCTTCATGATCCTGAGGCATGGAGTACCAAGATGATGATATCTTATAGCAACTTTCAGACCAATATTTCTCTTTCGGAAGATTAGAAAGTCACATTGATTAGTTCTCCATTTATTCATTTAATAAATAATTCATTTCACATACATGTATTATGAATATATGGGCAATATTCAGACTTAAAAGTAATTTTATTTCACAACTTCAGTTATTATTCATAGCTTGTTAAACAACAATGAAAACTTTTTTTTAACTGCTTTGCACAATTCCTTGTCAAGTGATAACACAAACAATGTATGTATTTCAAAAGGCACAAAACTGATCCAGTACATTGCATAAAAAAATCTTATACATTGTTATAAGTTCATCATAGATTTTGTTCTGAACCTCACAAATCACAAAGCAACTCATAAGATAGGTCATTTGTTGTTGATAATGACTGTCACAACACGCACTAGTTTGTCACCGGAGGTAATACCTGAATCCAATTTCCTCTTCACCAGATTGATGGGCAATGTTCCTTTGATAATTTCAAAGTCCTTTAATCTTCCAATGACCCTTTCAATGTGAATTCTTGCACGAGACTGCACGAGACATCATTCGGGACTTATCCACCCCTTCCCTTGATAACTGCTTCTTGCCTTTGCTGAAGGCAGGTACAATCAACTTGGCACCTCTAATGGCAAAATCCTCCGACATATTGAAACCTCTGTCTGCTAACACAAAATTACCAGGCACTAACTTGTCCAAAAGTCCAGAATCACAAGGTATCTGTCGGTCACTCACTCGGCCTCCCCAACAGGTTGAGAGAAATTTCACACAGCCAGATGGACTTATTCCTACTAAGATCTTGATTGTGTTGTGTCTTTTGTAGTTCGAATATGTTTGAGCTCTGGCTTTGAGGTTGGATGGTCGTTCAATAAAAATCTCTGTGCAGTCAATTACACATTTTACTTTTCTAAAGACTTCATTTTGAAACACTTCTGGTTACTGGCATTCGTCAGTTTCAGGCCACTTCACAAGTCCTCCTGATGAAGTTTAAAGGACATCCAGCCATGCATGGAATATGTTTGTTACTCAGGACTGGCTGATATTAAATCTGTAGGCCAAGTCAGTCATTGAAAGATTCCTCCTAAGTTTCACTAGGGTCAGCAACAGTTCATCTTCTTTTGGTAACTTTGTCCTTCTCCTCTCCACTTTTGTAGATGTTACACTCAACACTGCACTTAAAAATTCAACTTAGGGAAACCAATGTAGAACTTGGTGCGTCGATCATCCCCTTTCAGATTCTGGAAACTAAGTGTCTTCTCCTCAACATTATCTCTCAGAAATTTGTTTTCTTCTTCCAGTCTTTGTAATGAGGCCTTTAACGTTTCAATGTCTTTGACGTGTTCTTCACACTTGCGCTGTAACAGTTCCTGCTCTTGTTTCAACTCGGCACAAGTTTCAGCATTCTTGTTGCACACACTCTTCAGGTACTGGTTTGTCATAATCAGACCTGTCATGACTGGCAGTGAAATTTCAGTTTGTACGGCCATCTCGCAGACAGACTGCACTGGTGTTTGCGTGGAGGTTCCTGTCGTGACACATAATGGTTCTTCCTGGCTCAAGGAGAGTAGAACTTTGGCGGATTCGTTTTTAGCAATATTCTCTTTTCTTTCAAGAAGCCTCTGGTGACGTTGAACTTTTTCTTGCAGAATGCTTTCAGGAACAGCTCGGTGAGAAAAGACTGTTGGAACAAAATCTGGATTTGTGGGATCCCTTGAAGGCTGGCCTATAACCAAAATATTTACTGTATTAATTACTGTACAATAAGTTTTGTGTGAAATTATGTTTTAACAGTTTAAAAAAATGCACATTCACTGATTTTAAATTATAGGTACATTAATCACCGAAATATTGACTTTATGGAATATATAATACGTATCATGGATGGACTTTAAAAATTATCCATATTCGATTTCTTATTGTTTATACTGTCTTTGATAAAAATACTTAAGAAATTCGGTCTTTAATTCGATTTATAAGGAAATTCGGTCGCCAATTTAATCTAAACACACTTTAATTTTTATCACTCATACCACTTGTTTTAAGGATTATAATTATCAAAAAAATACATTAATATATTAAAAAGTTTTATTTACCGTTTATAAAATGTTTGGAGCAGATCCTTGAATGTTCGGTGGAGCAGATCTTTGAATGTTCGGTGGGCTCCCAGTCGTCTCTCTTGATGGCTGACACCCACTTTGCTCTCAGGTGAGGGTCCCTAGGTATTCTAAAAAACTTGAGATCTACGCCTGGAATCTGTCTGTTTTTGCATGCATACGCACAGCAATGGGCAGGCATCGTGAAGATTTTAAACTAGAGAACCCAACCACGATATTGATGACACGTCATACATGTAAACAATCAAAATGGCGCATACACAGGTAAACTACTATAATAAGATTAGCGTGGCCTTGCCACTCGCATGCATACGCGAACGGAATTATGGGAAGGATTTTTTTAAAAGTTAAAGGCGCGTAATAAGGTCTATAAAGCAAAAAAACATTTATTTTATACGTAATCGACAAAAAAAGGACATATCAGGTGTCGCGACATGTCGAAATCACTAAAGTCATTCTTGTGAGGTTGCGACATCATTTTTCAACTATCCAGGTATTGCGAACAATTAGAAATTTGATATACTTTAAGTTCTCACATACTAAAACTTTTTCAATTCAGATAGCACTTTAAATTCAGAAAATGATTAAGTTCCATTTTACACTTTCTAACCCCAAGGCAAAATACATGCCCTTTTTGGCTATTTTTTTTCTTTTTAATTTATTCATCCCATAAAGCTTTCGTAAAGCTGTGTATAGCGTGGTCCTCTGAAGGTGTTAAAATCTTACGTCATTATAGAGCATTTCCTGGCTTTGTATATAGGATGCCATCCGCTACAGGTGTGAAATGCTTAGGTCAACACTTGAGCACGCGCTGACTTTGGATAGGGTAAGCGCATAGTTTTGCAGACAGTGGAAGGACGAAGACGTGAAAAAGGTGGGCGAAATACTTAATCCTTAGGCTATTAACATATTATTTAAATACTGACTACCACAGGGTCAGAAAGTGTTACTTGTAACTTAATAATTTAATGAACAGTGTTTACAATTATAATTGTGACAGCTCCTCTGTTGTTCCAATTGCTTTTGCTAATGTCAATGTGGTCCTTCTCTTATTCAATGTTTGCTGTATTTGTACATATCTTTTTTGACGAAACTTTGTAATTTTTTTGGCAAAAATAAAACTTGAAAGAATGAGTAAGAATTTTTAATAAATTTCTTCAATATATTATAACACGTATCGAAATTTTTTTGTTCTTCAACAACTGCCACTATCTGAAATAAATAAAAAGAATATGCATTTTATGCTGAGTTTTTATTGAGGTTCGATGCATTTAAAGAAGACTAAAAATGAAAAAAAAAAATAACCAAGACAATGAACTATCTGCTTACTTCTTAATATTTCTTCTTTCCGTTCTAACCCCGTCCCCAGTCCTTTTTCTGTAGTCGTTCGGATGGATTTTCTGGATTCTTTCAATGATGTTCATGCCCTCTGGGGTGGTATTGAGGATTTCAATACAAGCCTTGTTTGTGATTGTTTCGGAGTAGTCTACATAAGAAATAAAAGAAAAGGAATTATAATTGATATTTTCTTTTTCAATCAAAGTTCTTTTCAGAGACTTTGGAAAAGGAAATTGTAGTAACTTAGACAGAAAAAAATGCTTCTCACTGTCAATCAGGCCTCTGCATAATCTTTTAATTTCCTCTCCCTCCTTTGGCGTAAACAGCCGTCTGCCATGCCCATGAAATCTTTCTTTTTCATTCTAGTGTAAATAAAATTATTTTTCAAAATATTTAATATTTACAGCAATTGCACTGAGCTTGTGAAAGGAAATATTTAATAATATGCCAATGCAAGGACATCAGGTCTGCTTTCTTCTTCTACTTCTTCGATGACGGGTTCTTCGTTGTTGTCATCTATTATCATCACCTAATGAAATACAAAATGTATTTTAAACAAGTTATAATTTCTTCAATTGTCTGGATATCTTCAAATCATAAACAAATATTGTGAAAATGAAGTCATTAAATGTAGACCTCCTCATTGACATTCCTCGTCACATGTTCGATGACTTTGACTATCTTTCCTGCATCCTCCTTCTTTATAGCTGTCTTGGGTCGAGGGCCTATGGTTCATTTGGTTGGCCAGCAGATCCCGTGCACCTGGATATCTGGATCTCACCTATGAAAGATAATATCTTTCTATTTATCTATTTATTTATCTATATTTTTATATCTAATTTTATTTATGTGTCTAAGTCTTTTTACCGATGTGGCAGTTGCCTTTCTCATCTGCGTAGCTGATATCTGTTTAGACTGTTTGGCCGCTTTCCATATGGATTTAATTGCCTTGTCGATAGTGGAAGTGTTAAGGCTAGAGGGCATGTTTGTTTTGGAGGGGTATGTTAGGAATAGTGGCGATGTATCAAGCTCAAACTCGTAGCTGAATCTTGGAAGAGTTGACCTGATTTTCTTACAGAACACCCCAAGGTACCGGAATATGTCCTCGGTAAACACCATTGTTACAGGGGCTAGGTGACCTGTCTTGTGCACAGAGATCTGGACAAACATGGGAAAAGAAAACATCACCCAGAACTTTTAGGAATAAAAATCAACAATTTAAATAATTAAACATATGGAAATAAACTTACAACAGCCACATGGCTATCCTCTTTCTTTTCTGCATTCAAAACGTGTCTTAACTTCATGTTTAGTATGGCGACCACCCTCTGACCATTACTAATGAGCAGCTTCAGTATAAGGAAATTCCTGGCAATCTCCGTGTCTCCCTTTTCCAAGTCTTCAAACAGAGCAACTGCCTCCTTATATATCTCAGATTGCTTGAAAGCCCTGATGTCAGATGGCTCAATCCTTCCCTCTGTAAGAATGATATATTTTATACATTAGTATATAAATAATAACTCCACACGTTTGTGTGATTATAAGCAAAAAAGGCACCGTCATCTTCTGCCCTATTCTGGACCATCCGTCTCTGAATGTCCACCTGGAGAGACCTCGCCCACCTCTTCAACTTTTCATTCAGTGTGGAACAGATTGTATTGTCAAGCTCCCCTATGTCTGATAAAAACTCTTGGAAGTCCTTCAGCGATCCTAATAATAATAATATTCTGAGTTAATTGTCGAACAAAGTCAGATAATTTCTAAATATATTTTCGTTCCAGTATTAGTATATAAAACTTTACCAATGTCTGATCGAATGGTTCCAGGGGCAAAGGTATCTCTTGATGGCTGGAGCCATTTGTCTCTGATTGAAGCTGCGTCGGTGATTGCTTCCAGACTTGTACAATTATTTAAAATGTTCCATATTGTGAAGAGTTGCTGACAGTGTTGCTCTGCCACCTTCTCCGGTCGGTTCTTCTCAAGACTAACTTGCCAGTATTTAAAGTCTTTAAGCCTTTTCTCCATAAAAATTCAAATACATTTCTGTTAAAACTATGGCAAGAAAAACATAAGTAGAAATTGTAGCTGGCACAGAGCTTAGGTTTTTTTCCATTCACCGTGTTCCTGCTCTGTTCCCTGGAGGTCTTCATCTATCTTTTCACTTTCTGGATCACTATAATATGTTGACATTTATTAATGTATCATACTTTATCATTCTATAAAACAAGGAAAAGAATATGCATTGGCAAATACTCATCGACTTTCCAGCTTCTTAGCATTAACCACTATCTGGTGCAAGGCTTCCCCCTTTCCCGCTGGTGTGCATAAACGAGATGGCTGTCCAGCCTTTTTACTACTGCTCCACAGCCAGGTATTGGGCACTGCTTAAGTCTAAAATATAAATAAAATACAAGGAGTATTGACATTTTGTTTTGAAACCAATAATAAAATCCATAGATATTGATAAATGAAGGATCTCAAATTGCTAACTTCTTTTTGGTTGTTTTGACGCTGATCTTTGCTCCTTGTCTGGAGTAGTTGTGGGAAGCCACTAAATGTCGCACTAGATGGACCACGTGGATCCCACACTCGGTGCACTCTTTCCTTGCCCTTTTCCCACTGGATTGTTTCCCTGAGACAGTTCTTGGTCTTTGTTCTTTCTTCCTTTCTCTGTCGAGGAAAAAAATCTTTTATTTGGTTATATTATGTTACCCGTACAGGCAACAGAATATTCAAAGCATTTAGCATATTTACCCTTAGATTTCTCTATGACTTTTCCAGAGCACGTAATTGGATTTTTGGGGGAGGGTATCTGTTTTTCCTGTAAGGTAACTATTGTTTTAAATGACATTGAATGTAAACAAAATAAACTATTGTTTTTTCTTTAAAGAGAATTGATATAATTTGTTGTTTAATTTATACCTGATTTCCACGCTTCTGGGTGATTAGACTAGAGGAAGTGGCACCCTATGAAATTAAAAGATAAGGTACAAAGGAAATAAAACAAGAACCATCCAATCATTGAAGTGAATAAGAAAGCATTTGGCTTACCTGTTTCTCGTCACACCTCACTAGGGGTATCGTTAGATATTTCAACTTCGTAATTTCCATGATATCCTCCGTGATATCATCATCCTCATCCTCATCTGGTTTGTAGTCCGGATCATCCTCCCTTTCAATCTCTTCAATGATGTCGTCGCAAAAACGCGGTCTTCCTCCATAGACTCCTCCTCCTCCTCATGATTTTCTACCTGTAACATAAACATAAATAATGCAAGCATTTGTTTATTATTTAATTTAATTTTCCTTTTAGGGCGGTAGTTCCTGGCGTGCGGAAAACTTCCTTTCATGGGACGCATCTTGATTCTCATTAGGTTGGGGTTTTGAGGATTGACCTCAAACCTGTCACTCTCCGGTAACTAATAAAAGATTATCTTTTCTTGAAGTGTTTTTCTCTTAAACAAAACATGCTAGAAACAAAGAAATTTGGGAGAAAACGATACCTTAAAATCAGGGTTAAATGGGACCTTTTTAAAGAATAGGTCACTTTCTTCCTCTGTAAGATCTCTCTCTGAGTTTAAAACAACCTACAAAATATATTTGTTAATTTGTATCATTTTTAGATATTTATCCTGTATTCAAGGTTTGGATATTCTTAAACAATCTATGTTAAAAGCTTATTTTCTCATCTTCAGAGTCAGCCATTTTCCAAATTTTACTTTTTAAACTCCTTTTACAATGAAAATAAGATCTTACAATGATTTAAAGGAGATTTCTTAGAGAAAATGATTGTAGCATATACTCTGCGCATGCGCACAAACTGCTGCCCCTTTCACTTATAAA